GCACGATGCTGTAAACGAAAGATCTAACGGCCCAACGAGCGGTGCTCATCACGATACTGCTGCTCTTCTGCCAAGGTCGCTGCACGTTGCCAAGCTTCCCAAGCCTGAGCTCGTTTCCGCTGAAGGGCAATCATCTTCTCCATGTCCTCGTCTAAAAATGGGGTGCCAACTCGAGCGCGTGGTTTACCTCTACCAAGAACGTCTTCGGCAGCTGTCACCATATGCTGAGCTAACTTTGACCATGTCATTCGTGTGTGTGGCGGGGCCGTCTCATCATTCTCGTCAGCGTCACAAATCATATCAACAAATTTATTCTCAGGGTCCTGAGGAAAATATTGAGCCTCCTCTCGTACCGGAGCAAAACTACTCAATTCCTCTTCTTCCAACGCCACTTCGAAGTCATCGAACGGGTCGTGGTACTCCTGATCCACACTTGTTCCTGGGGGGGGAAGTCCAGGTGGTGGCCGAAATTCAGCTTGCGCTCCGACTCCGACGAGAACCGGCTCAGATCCAGCAACTGTTGGCGACTGAGCCCAGGACGGGTTCGAGGAGCGCCCGCCTGGGACTTGCGTTCTTTCCTCGCCCTGAGGCTGCGTTCCGACACCGACGATGTCCGAATTGGACCCAACAACCATTGGCGACTGAGCCCAGGTCGGGTTCGAGGAGCACCCGCCTGGGACTTGCGTTCTAACGTCCTGTTGAGTTTGCGCCCTAACGCCAGCCGCGTCCGCATGTGGCGACGTAGTCCAGGTCGGGCTCGAGGAGCACCCGCCTGGGACCTGCGTTCCTGACGCCGTCTGGCCGATGTGGTCCAAGAGCTTCAGCACCTGCCTGGCGCCGAGGCCCGCGCTGGTGTCCGCCCTGTCGTTGCCGACGTCGCCACTATGCCCTTTGACATGCGCCAGTGCGATGTCCCGCTCGCGGCGGGTCCTTCTGTAAAAAGCACGGCCCGTCGCAATCAACCTCCTGTTGGATCCAGGTCGCCAGTTGCCAACTATCATATTCATAGCTTGTTGCGAATCGTAGTGTATAGTCACATCATCCTGCGTAGTATTTTGTACAATCCACCACATTGCCATAATCATCGCCGACAATTCGCCCGCGTTGTTCGTTGATACTTCTGCTCCCAAGAACAGAGGCCGTAGATCATCATTCTGAAGCGTGACCACTGGGCCGTGGTAGTCTGTCCACTGCATATTGCGCGCATTTGATATCGCCATTCCCCATCCCGCCCCCTCCTCCGTGCCAGAGCCGTCCGTGAAGATGTGGAAGTGCTGCGACTGCTCTGCATTGTGCACCCGAAACGTGTGCGAGCCTGGATGGGGCTCCCATGCGGGATCTGCTTGAAGGAACAGTTCGACACACCTACGATATGCTAGCCGTAGTTCTTGCGCTTGTGCCGAAGGGCCCCGATAACGATGTATGCTGAGCGGTGGTTTAATTGCTTGCTCTTTGGCTTTTCTTGCACATTGTAAATGAAACTGTTTGCGGGACTGTTTTCGGGACTTGGTGCCTGCACAGGGGATTATGAGGTCAAGTTGCTTGCTCATATGATCCGATATTCCCCAGGCCGTCAGATGTACACCCAATACTTGTTTGTGTAACTCACGATCCATGACATATTTACCCAGTTCATACCATGTCCCAATCCTATGTTTCCGGGTCCCTCTAGACAGAAAAGTATAAAAGAAATCCGTGTTGATCATATTCGTGGTCGTCAACCAGCGAAGAAAAGCCTTCCCTCCGTCCGTGGTACTCTGTTTCATCAGTTGTCCCCCCAGTTGAATGTCGTTCGGTGTCGTGTCCTGTCCTACGTGGCCGTTCCAGTCCCCTGCTATGAGTACTGGAGCTTGGTGTAGACTTATACACCTGTGACGTAGTTGGGATAGTTCACCATTTACTTGCGATCTGTATCCCGCCGAGACCCCAGTAGGTATATAGACAAACACCACCCACATCATACAGTACTCTTCCAATAGTACAGGTATAGCAACACATCTATCTCCCAATAATACTACCATTGAACCATGAGACATCAAAGTAGATGATGCCGCCCTCCAAGCCATCTGGGCAGGCATCGACAGCGATAAACCACATTGCTCACCCATGATGAGGACGAACTCTTCAATATTGACTATGGTGGGGGTATTGTTGTCTAACGTGAAGGTACTGTTGTGAAGTTCAGAGACAAGACATATCTGTACATGCTGCCGTCGTTGTTCTCGAAAAAACATCTGGAGCTTATCTCAATTGTCGAGCCTACTCCAGTCAAGTACCCCTGTGTTCGTGACGCTGATGCGAACATCTTGTCCCAGTTGTTGCCGCGACTGACGATGAGGATAACGAATTCTGAAGTGATGCCGCCCCGCCTTCATAGAAGTAGTTGTGTACTCTACAATGACTGGCTGCTGATCTAATCCACTTGCATCCTTCTCGGCGGTATCATAATGCCCAAGAGACTTGGGCGGCTCGTTCGCACTGCTACCGCGATACAAATACGAGAGCCCTCGAATCTTCGTAATCGAAGTCATCGTCATAAACGTTGGAGGGATTTCGTCAGCATCATCTCAAACCACAACATGAACAGAAAGAGACGCTGCTTCTCGTCGGCCCCGTAAGAGGTCCCCTCCGCCAACGTCCAGTACTGGTTCAACCTTGCCACTGCAGGGCGCTGTGGAGACGAACGAGATGTGCGCCTGGATGCCGAGGAGGATCTGATCGCGCAACCACTGGATGCGAGCAGCGACCACCATCGGGGCAGGGGCAGCAGCAGAAGCGGAAATGGGGCCGCGCATGTGCGCGGGGCAAACCACAGAGACAAGCAGGTGCCTGAGCCAGAGTGGCTAGGAGGAGGATAAGAGGGAGGACAAAAAGGATCTGCGATGGATGATGATACCCGTTAGGGCAGGCGTGACTCAGATAACGAGGTCCAGTTGCATGGAGCACTCCACACAGTCTGCGGTGGTCAAACCGCCGCAACCGCTGATTCGGAATCAGGAAGTTGAGGTCGCATGTGTCCGGCTTGTTTCACTAAGGCTCCCCCATGGCTGAGGCGTCTTGACAGGAGGGTTGGCGACTGGAATCATCGAGATGTCCCCTGCGAGTGCCCTGCTAGACTTTGTCGTCCACTTCCTCCGTTGAATATGAGCAGGCTCGGTGCTCCCACATCGGGTCTGCAAAGCGGAGCCCGACATAGTCGCTCGCTACTGCTACCCCAGTTGCGCAGCGGAGGCGCTGTGTACCTCTGGATCAAGCCCCGAGGGGGGCCCTCGAGTCTGGATGTATGCGACCTGGTGCTGGCCGTGACGCAGGAGGGAGTGAAGGGGGAGGCGCAGGCGTGGCGCTTCTAGGCCTCCAGGGCGAGCGCATCAAAGCCAAAATGGGCGCCCGATTCCGCGGGAGATCGCGCTGCCAGAACTTCCAAGAGGGCTCCAAACGCAATCGGGATACCCGTCTCCCTGAATCGTCGAGGAGGAGAGGAAACAGGGGGAAAAACTGGCACGCTGGCAGCGTGCGAGAATGGTCATGTGTGAAGGGGCGCTGGGACACACAAAGAAATACACACAAATAACAGGATTCTCCATATTTTCGTATATGTTCTTGGTTTTTGTCTTCCCCCCCACTTCCCATATTTTCCCACATTCTCTGGGGAATCGAAGGTTAATTGTGTGTTTCTTTGCCTCCTGAATGTGCTCCACAGCCGTGACCCCTGGCACACTGAGGCGCGGTGGAATGCCAAGGTGTGCCTGGCAGGGCCTCTGCATGTATTCCAAGGGCGCCCCACTCTCGCAACACCCACCTGCATGCATCGCCCCCCCTCTTCGAGGATACGGTAGGTTCTTCCGGCGTCGGCAAACGCGAAGGCTGTTGTCACCTCGCCGATCGCTCAACCTTGAATCGACTGCGGCCCCGATCGTTCAGGGTTGGATTCAGTCGGGTCCAGTGGCGTAATTGTGTCCAACGGTGCTATAGCGTCGCAGAATTCAACCTTGAACGCCTTCGCCAGCTTCGCCGGCGCGCCAACGCCGCATGAACCTACCGTACCTCGGCGGCTTGATGCCTCCGTCGCGCTCTCCGATGCCCTCCACGAACTTCCAACACGGCCGAGGAAGTCCACAAAGGCCGCCGAGATGGTCCAAGACGGCACCAAGACGGCCGAAGAAATCATCATCCTCCTCGTCCTCCTCCTCCTCCTCCTCCTCCTCCTCCTCCTCCTCCTCCTCCTCCTGTGCAACATCGTCATCATCATCACCACCATCATCAACAACATCATCATCATCAGCATAGTCATCATCACCGTCATCATCAAAATCATCATCATCATCATCATCATCACCACCACCACCGTCATCATCATCATCATCATCATCAACAACATCAACATCATCATCATCATCATCATCATCATCATCATCATCATCATCATCATCATCATCATCATCATCATCATCATCGTCAGACTCATCATCATCAACCTCCTCCTCCTCGTCATCATCAACCTCCTAATCCTCCTCATCAGCATCATCATAATCGTTATCATAATCATCCCCTTCATCATCATAATCATATTTGTGATCATTAATATCTTAGTCATGATGATCCTGGTCCTCACGCTCTAATGATCATGCTCATCATCCTCATCCTCATCAACAACATCATCGTGATCAGCATCATGATCATCATTACCATCATCATCATCATCACCACCACCACCGTCATCCTTTTGAGAATCCATCATCACGATCATCATCATCATCACCACCACCACCACCAGAACCATTATCGCCATCAGCCTCATCATGCGAATCATTATCATCAGCGGCAGCATCATCATCATCATCATCATCATCATCATCATCATCATCATCGTCATCATCATCGTCATCAGCATCAACATAAATATCAGCAGCAGCAGCATCATGATCATCAGCATCATCAGCAGCAGCATCATCACCAATGATTTCACAAAAACCACTACCATCATCATTGAACCAGGCCGCCTCCGCCAGAGACGCCGCGTTGCTGATGAAAGGGAGCTTCCGCATGGCGTCGCGAGGGGTCATGAGCGTCGCCATCGCCGCCTGCCCCAACCCCCGCGAGACCTTTCCAAGGAAGAGGCGGCGGGGTCGCAGCCGGTCGACACGACGCGAACCTGGGGAAACCCAAAGGTAACCATACTGCTGTTCCCTGGACCTCTCCCGGGGTGCATTCTGACCTGGATTTCGGGGCGAACCCAGCGGTGGCGACGAGGGCTTCCCAGGAGGTCCAAGACAGGGAAAACGGGCGAAGGGTAGCAGTATGGGTGCCTGTTCCTCCCCTGAGAACTTACCACAGCTTTTCCTCCGCCGAGGTCCCACGCGCACGGCCAGTCGGCGCAGTCTGCCGCACGCCCACGTGGCGCGGACCCCTCGGCCCCGCGCAGCGACGCGGCCTGGCCTCCCACCTGCGAGGCGGGGACTCATCCACATCCACCGCCTGGGAGCCGACGCCCTGGGGGGCCCCCCCTGGGGGCCAGAATATCATCCATGTCCACCGCCCGCCGAGATCTCCGAAAACCGATCCCCCAGGCAGTGATGATATATATATATATATGTATATCTATGTATATATGTATATCTATATATATATATATGTGTGTGCGCGCGTGTGCCTCGGATTACCCACCTGGGGGAGCCCCTCGCACCGACGATCCCTCGAGAAGGGCGCCGAAGCCGCTGGGGCCCATCGGAGGGGTGAGGACCACATCGCCCCTCATTGTGGCGGATTTGCCTCGAGGGGCGCGATCCGGCCAGGGGCGAGCAGCGGCGCCGCCCCGGCGGCCGTCGTCGACCGGCGTGCTACTGCCTCGTCGTGGTTGCCGCCGCCGCCGTCATCGTCATCGTCGTCGGTATTGCCGTGGGCGTCGTCGCCGTCGTCGCCGTCGTCGTCGTGGTCGTCATCGTCTTGAGCGGCGGCAGCGGCGGCGTGCCTGGGCCTCAGTCGCAGAGCCCGGCCCCAGGAGCGCCGAGGGTCTGACGAGCGCGGCGCGGCGCGGCTCGCACTGGAAGAGGCGGGTGCCGCTCATGGTCCCGCACGTGGCTGGCCCATCTCGACACCGACCGAAGCTCCCTGATGGCCCTCGACGGGTCCCGAAACACCTGACCACACCCTGTGCTTGCAGCCGGGCGACCATCACCCGGTCGCCGATGCAGACCCTGTCAGGCGCCACGGCATCCTCGCTCGTAGACATGCCCGAGGCGCGCGGGGCAAAGAGGCGCCGAGGATGTATGCAATGGGCCACGGCTGGCGTGGCGCCCAGCACTCGTTGCTCTCGAGCCAACTCTTATTTTGCAAGACTGATCCGCCACCGTGGCCCCTGGCACGTTGGGGCGTGCTAGAATACCACGTGCTGTCTCGTAGGATTTCTCGA